CCTGAGAGAAGACTTGCATCAATTCAGTCTCCTAAGCAAGCACAATCTATTCAGATGCTTGCCTTGATATTAACTATTGGAGCTGCTGCAGACTCTTCATTTCCTTCTTTTGCTACTACTGACATTGGTGACCTACAAACACTGGTGTAACTAATAACAATAAGGGCTGCCTTCCAACTGGGTGTGCCAGTACCCAGGGCCCCTGTCTTGAGAGGCTCACTTCACCTAAGTGTAACAGAGCCAATAGTATTAGTTACAATCGTGCCTTTTCTACTTTACTACACTAGTATCTGTAAGAAATGATATCAAAATGAATTCTCCTTTTAAAAAAATAAAAGTGATTCTTGTCCATAGAGTGCATGCCATCCTTAGTCAAATTGTTTTCTTTAGAATCACTGTACCAGATCTGATACAGAGTATTGATAATTGATCAGAACTTCTAAAACATGACTGGTGGTTATGATGTACACTGTTACATCAATGCAAGATGAGCCTGAGGCTGACATGAATGAATGGGCAGAGATGCTTCACTACTTACAGTCTAGTCAGATGCTATAAATATGAATGCTGCACTCTTGATCATTCATCATTTACTATGAGCCTAGGGGGATTCAGTAAGTTAAAATGCATTCATACGCAGTTTTTTTTGTTTGTTTGTTTGTTTGTTTTTTTTACTTACTAGAGCTATTAATGATCTGATCTGATTCTGCTGCTACAGTATCTGCTGTGTGTTGTATTTCAGCTTCGCTTTTCCTGGTTGAAAAACATGTTTTGTCCTGATACAATCATTGAGATTTCTGAGTTGTATGAAGTTATGCTTTTTGGCACCAGCGAGAGAAACTAGATGTAGGTGTCACTGCACTGTATTCTTGACCTTTGTTTTTCAGAGACGGATTTGTGGGAATTAATGACCGTTGTCAAGAGTTAGATATATATATATATATATATATATATATATATAAATTTAATAATTAGAATGAAATTCTCAACCTCAATTTCTCTGTCTAGTTAGAGGCCGGGGATCAGGTGGAGAGCCCAGGCCTCCATCCATCACTATCTTCAGAGCTGTCTGCTGATACTGTTTACAACTTAAATAAGGTCAAGACTGCATTCACTAAACAATCAGGTTTCCTTGAGAGCATTTAAGTTTGGTGGCTGCAGGACCAAAGCTGTGCCCAGAATTATTTTTGATAAAAACAAAACTTCTAATAAAAAGAAAGAAAATTAAACAGTTTAAATTACAGATATTCCTAAACCTTTGTAAGCCCCTTGTATTTCTTTAAGGGTTAAAAAGGTGCAACTACATCTTTTGTCACATTTGCTGAGTGTTTGTTTCAGGTTTTGTTTAAACCCTTTGTGTAAATTATAGAATTGTATCTCTGTTTAATGCTTTATTTTTAATTGTATGGGCTGTGAATCATACACCTGGTGCAAAAATAACCCATCAAATCTCATGTTTGAACATATTTAACATAACACAAAAATCCACTAAAGAAATGAATTAAATTCTTTGCAGCATTTAGACTTTTGAGTGGAGGAAATACCAGTTTATGAGTAATATGTGAGAGGAACATTTTTTTTTAAAATTCTGTTCGTAGCAAAGCTTCCAACTACTTGATCGATCACATAACTTTTACATGCGTCATGTACCAATCTCCTATTTTGTGCTGCATACGTTGCATCATCTACATCACCTATATCACTCACCTGTACTGTGTTGCAAAGCTTCTCAGAATCTATGTGAAAAATGCCTAATCAGACTATGAGATACTGCATAATGTTTAGACATGCTGCTGCTGTTTTGTTTTTTTTCTTTTAGCTGTGAGCTGAATGTGTGTGTGTTTGTGGGTGTATCTGGTGTAACTCCAGGTATCTGGTATAAACTAAATAGTGATAGTCTTTTGACAGCTCAACGTTGTACATAGAGTACAACCTCTGTCTATCACACACACATACACACATTGGTAGGAATACTTATCTCATATTCTCCACCAGACTGGAAACACTGTCAGCCTCACCACAAGCTTTTTAAGGGATGTTGTGCGTTTGTGTGGGTGTTCCTGCACGCATGTGTGAATTTCAGTGTTAAGTGCAGAGTTTTAGGTATGCACAACATTGTGTGTGTGTGTGTGTGTGTGTGTGTGAGTACAGCCTGTCAGTCTGCTTTACTGAGTACAAACTGGCATCATTAGTGAGCCTGCGACTGGCTGCCATGGCACACCAGGCTGAACACTGACAGCGAGGAAATGTGGAGTCTGAAAACTGTTGTATTATTTCCAGCACATTTGTACATTTGACAAGTCTGTATCTTCACAAACTTGGTTGCGGCTCGGCTGGCAGAAACGATAGTGAGACACAGGGAGATGAAACAAGCATCTGGCAACATGCACATATGCATGTACACACAGTCTAAAAGCTGTCAGCGAGAAGACAGCATTATGTAGCATCATTGCAATAATTCATATCATGGATCAAGTACAAACACGACCAAAAATAAATACCAACATCGTATCAAGAAAATGCTTTAAAGTTTTCAGCGCAACACAAAAGTCACATTAAAAATTCATATTCAACAAATAATAAGCCACATCCACACACAAATTGAAACTACTTTTATATAACAATGAACTACTAAAGATAAAAATGCAGTAAAATAAAATGCTACACCAACAGTTTCAGGTTTGTTTAAACTTATAAAGTATTATAGATTTGCCTCTGATGGAGACAAACAGCTACCTCAATTTGCCTCAAAGAAATGTATGGTTTGAATAGAAAATGTAATGATGCTTTAAAAGGAGTGCACGGAAGGCAATACAGCCATAAGTGTCAGTGTATTCACTTAATTGCCACATGAAAAACCTAGATGACAGTTTAGGCAAGATTTTGGTTGTGGTTTGTTGAGATAAAAACAGAGGTGTTACTCACACTTGGAAACTTCCTTGCTTAAATGGCAATTTACTGCTGATTTGTAGTCAGAGCAGAATTTGACTGCACTTGCTAATCCACCCCCTTACAGTATTTTAATGTCAGGCCATTGCTTGTTTCCATAACACAGTCCTCTGAACTATCCCTGGTAGTATTTACAGTGAAGACAATTTTGAGGATTTCCTGAAAATCTCTAATACCAGGATACACAGATGTTAGTAAACTCATTATGAACCACAGGTTAGACCTGTAGAACACCTCAGTTTGTTGTAGAGCAACAAAACTGTACTTGTTAGCCCATGGCTGTGCTGATAGCATAGCTAGCAGTCAGTTAGCTTAGATTATCATTAAGGCTTGAAGCAGGGGCAAACAGCTAAACTGACTCTGTCCAAAACAAACAATTTAATGTTGTTTTATCTTGTTTGTTTATACAAAATGTACTTTTTTATATTTTGTTTTGAATGAACTAAACAAATGAGGTGTAACATGTTAATCGGTGAGCTTTAGAGGTGCTGGCAGGCAGATTTGGTCACCTTTAGACACAGCCACCCTCGCTGTTTCCCTGTTTCTGGTCGCGCAGCTAAGCTAAGCTAATCTAACCAGCTCCCGGCTGTAGCTTCATATTCAAGCATTCTTCAAACATATTTGCCAAAATGTCAAACTATTCTTTAACCATTGTTTTCCTCTAAATCATGAGGCCATCTGGTGTGAGTGATTTTCAATGTGTGTATATGTAGAGAGAGTTGTATGTTTGTAAAGGGGAATAGTTGAGGGAACAAAATATAAATAAAGGAAAAAACAAAACAAACAAACAGCTAAAAAACAAATTAAAAAAACAGCACTGGTCAATATTGCAATATTTTTGTGCCCGGACCCCAATGATCATAATATAGTGACATTACAATGATAACTAATACATAGTAACTTTAATATTGATGGCTATGCTATACTAATAATGCCATCAACATAACATCAATATTAATAAAAAAACTTTTTTTTTTTTTTTAAAAACACACATACATCCCTACATACACACATATCCATATGCAGTCCTCAGTATATCTGCCCTCCTGTCAGTCCTCCGCTCTGATCAGTTCCTTTCCTGTCAGCTCAAAGTCCTTGACAGGTCCTCTCCGTGTCTTATTCTCCCTCCGCCTTGCTCTCTAGCTTTTGTCAATTCGACATCCCTGCTGCCAACCTTCTGTTCATTTTTAATCTGTCCTCCCACTGAGCTCTGCACTTTGTTGTCTTTCTCATCATCTCTGGCTCTTTGCTCTCCACTTTTGTTTCCTCTGCCTTTCCAACACCCACTGTATCTGCTGCCCTTCATTTTAGTCTCAAGTCATCTTTGTTCCTTTTTTTTCCCCCCCAGCTGAACCCTTCCTCTTTACCATTCTCTCTGCCTTTAAATATCCTCTGCACCTTTTATCTTTTACCCTTCCCCTCTCCTTTCTTCTCTCTCAGTAGTGCCCCTTCCTTTCCACCTTTCCAGCTCAGTATGTTCTTTAGAATGCAGCCTTTTTCCATTTACTCCAGTATCGCACCTGCCTAACGCTGTGTTTTGTGTCCAAAAAATTCTGAACAGCATCCCATCTCTGTTGCTTTGTTGCCCTTTTCTCAACAGCAGATCGAGTCCAGATAACCGGGTTCAGTGCTTAGTATTCACCAGTCCTCATGGCATATGCGCATTTAACCACCATGGAGGTGCTAACTGCATGTAGCACATAACACACTTCATTTCTACTACACATTTGCTCCATACTTAAGAAGACAGGTGGGGATTCGGCATGGAGTGGTAATATCTTTCGATCCGTCTGTCCAACAGTGTGTATTATGCCATGTAAAGTTAAGTTTTCTCCTCAAATGGCCATTTATTAGAGGGATGTCAGCCCAACAGGCTGATGTGAAAATAAACCTAAGTTGAATGAAGCAGGATAAAAATTGGGAAAGGATTGTTCTGGAGAGTGAAAATATGCAATAATATTTCTTTCAAGACTTATCAAAGTATATGGTGAGCTGGGGTCATACTTGGCAAGAATGATTAAAATTTGCTCTCTGTCTCTGTTTCTCTTCAGATCTTCTCTGACGTGCCCTCATTGCCTTAAGCAGAGCAACACCTTCGACCCGTTTTTATGCATCTCCCTGCCAATCCCTCTACGACAAACCAGGTGATGTATAACACATAGTCAAAGCTAAATTAAACTTGCTGTTGACGAAACTTTTTGTTTTTATGGATTTTTTTTTTGTAATGATTTTATGTTTTCACTTTTGTCCCACAGTGGTCTGAGTATATTTGCTGAGTCGTTGTGTTGGGAAGTTTCTACCCTACTCTGGTTTTATAGGGTAAATCTCCTGTAGGCCTCAGTGCATAAAATGTTTAGCCAAGCAAAAGCTTTTCTTAGCTGCTGGGAAGTTGACACTCTGGATGTATGAGGCTGTCATCTGATCTCAGTGATATAGATATGATCATCTCGTTTACCCAATGTAGCAGAAAGATTAGCCTCAACGAATAAGTAGAAAAAGCCATTGATCATACCAGATCAATGTAAAAGCACATATTTCAGAAGGAAATGGGATAAACAAGACTGTGTACACAAACACGTGTGTGCAACACATGTGCACAAACATACTGTGCATGTACGCTCCAGCAGCTGTTGGTCATGGTCATATCGAAGTGATAAATGTTGGCCGTCAAAAGTCCCTGACCAAACACTTTCTGTTGTTGTTTCCATTTTAACTGTAACAGAAGCTGCGTGTCAGCAAGGTCCCACTGTGAGACAGTATGACTTTGACATATGAAGACGGAGAGAGAGAGAGAGAGTTGGGATGCACAGAGGACTTTTTTATTTTTTTATTTTTTTTATTTTGACAGAGATGCAAACAGAGAGATAGAAAATGTCATATAGAATGACAGCTAGAAGACTTTGCAGCTCTAGCATGCTGTAGACATCACCCATGGGACCCCCTCACACCCGCACAGGTGATTTTCATTGTTTTGGCTGAGACGACTTTTTCTGAGGACCTTGCAGGTGAGTGTAGGCTGTGTTTGAGTTACAAAGTCTCCTGTTAGCCCTGTTTCACCTGTTAGGGTGAGGGACAAATTACACCTTTGTCATTCTTATTGGAAGGGCCTCTGTGTGCTGGCCCTTTTTAAATTCGTCCTGGAGCAAGGCATACCAGGTAACCACAACATTGTAGATTTGGCCCTGTTTTATTCCCTTTCTCTCTCTCTGCCCATGAGTCCAGTCGTGGCATAAAACATCTAACAAACATCAGTTGAGCTCCAGTTTCACAATTTCCCGACATTCAGTGCTCAATGAATCCTCCTATCTTCAAACATGCAGACACCTCTGCTCTGCATCCTCTCTGCATGGCTTCCACAGTGCTAAAACACAAACTCTGTTTTTTGCGGTGTGAGTTCTCTGACAGTGTGTGGTCTGTCCCTGCAGTTGCCTGAGCCCAGCATAGAGGGAAATTCATTCAGGTTCTCTCCTGGCCCCACACTGACCTGACACACACACACACACGCATATACACAGCGGCCTCATTGCGCTGTCCTGCTGCAGCAGTATCCCAGCAGAATGCCTGATAAGTTTGAGGCCCCCCAGAGACACTGCAGGGTCTGGCTGGCAGCGTGGCATTGAGGCCTGGGTGCTGCAGATAATGCCAGTATATGGCAGAGAGAGAAAAGGAGGATGGCAGTTTCTGAGTATCAGTCTTGTACATATCAGCCTTACCAAAGCTTTTGTTTCTAAAAACAATTTGCAATATTTAGAAAGGTACTAAAGAATGACAAAGATTCGTGTCACTTAACTGGTCAGTGACTCATTCAGGAACATGAATTAAGTCAGTAGGTCTCTGTCAGCTACCCAAGGTTGTGAAGTATTGGATTGCATGCAGCCTGTACCTTCTTTCAGCCTTTGTGGATGTGCAAGTGTTAAGCTAGTGTTATACATTTGGTTTGGCAGATCCTAATGCACTTTGTCTCCACAAACACATAGAACACTGGCAAGAACTGTAATACAAAATAAAGTGGAGAAACTGAACTACAAAACCAAATCAATGCACTGACCACAGGAGGTGCATCGTGCAGCAGACTACTGCAGCATTAACAGTATATTAACACACACTAAACCTCCCTCAAACCATCTGTAAACATATAACCCATGTTAAAGGATCATTATGTCGATTTTGTTTGTTTTAGTGATTTCACATTATAAATCACATAAACTGATCTGTTTTCTTGTCAAAGTTTTGCATTGGGTTCCATTCGAATGTCATGTGATGAAGGTAAGAACCTGTGTCCACTAAAAAGTCTAATGCTGGTCTAACGGCCTGACAGCAACCCATTTTTTGATGCAAGAAAAAAAACGATTATTTTTATTGCTCATTGTTTATCTCAATTTTGTTCACCAACAAGTTCTTACAAATCTCACGCCGTAATGGCAGACCTTTCAAATCAGCTTAGATGACCACGCAGTGCTAACGGTTATTTTTAAATTCTGCTCTGTTGTTCACTCTGAGGGGATTCACTACTACAAGGAAGTTAAAATTCTCTCTCTAGTGCAGACTGGTTCACGTTCATGGCGTGAACTGGAACAAATGGAAAACATGGCAACAGAGAGAGCATTCTCAGGAATATGGCTGGCAGAGAGGTGAAGTTTACACAGTTTGCAGTAATTGGTCTAAAACATGAGCAAACACTTGCTTGGTTGTTAGCCTCTAACATGGTGTTTCAAGTCCATTTTTGATGTTTTAGAGCTGAAGAATTCTGTGCACTCTTGACACGTCATGTTTAAGAGGTTGCAGTTTAATAGAGACGATCAGGCTCTAAACCGGCAGGGGGCTGGGAAGCTGGAAAAAACCTGACATCTCTATTTCCTGTTCCTCTCAAGCGCCGTCCCGCACCTCTCATACCATTTCATTTCACATCTCGAAGTCTCATCTCGGAGCATCTAACAACGTAAACGAAACAGCTGCTCAGATCCTCCGCTGTCTGCCCTGTCAACCTCCCCACTGCTCGCACATTACTCACCTGAATAATGCATGATGGGAAACAGGAAGCGGAGGTGTCAGCGATTACACCATCTTCATCCCAAATGAGAAGGCGTGACCTTACTTTGTCTTTTCCACCATACTTCCACAGTTTTTTTTTTTTTTTACTTTTATCCTTTCTATTTACTCATCTTCTCATCAAACTCCATCCTTAGTTACAGATCCCATCCTCTTTTAATTTTATCTTCTGGGTCTCTCCCTCCATCATTTCTCATTCTAACTTCTCCTTCATTTTCACTCTTACATTGCTTTGCAGCAGGTGTTCACATTGCTGAAAATCAGACATGTCTCAGCACACAGCAGCTTCCTGCAGGACCATCACCAATGTACTGTTTTAGCTCGGCATGTCTAGTCACGAGTCCACACACACACACACACACGAGGGAGAAATGAAACACAACAACATCTGAAAATTGGTAAATCACTTCAGATATTAATTCAGACAGAGAGTTTATGTTCATGAAATTTGACTTTGTACAACAGTATTGTCAGAGGAAATCTTTTCCCCCAAACATATTAGATATTAAACAGCTCAACAGTGCATTTAAAAATCTCATTTCACTGAATGATTTGTTTTGTTGTTTAGCAGCTGAAAAACATCAAAACTCAGCAAAGCTCAATATATCTCTTAAATAAACTGACAGCATGATGCTGTTGCCCCTGACGTTATTCTGCACAATGCATTAATCTGCTTTTGCTCTAGACTCTATGCACGATGCCTGGTGTGTGTGTGTGTGTGTGTGTGTGTGTGTGTGTGTGTGTGTGTGGTGTTGTGTGTGTGTGTGTGGTGTGTGTGTGGTGGTGTGTGTGTTACAAATATGTTAATAACTCAGTATGCCAGGGTGTGTTTGGAATCTGTAGTAATGTAAACATGCAAAATCAGAATTGCAAAACAATTTGGCACTGTGCTCTAACACATAATCTATCTTCCTTTCTCCATCCTCTTACCCCTCCCTACCTAACACACACACACACCCTCCCTCCCTTTTATTTCTCCTGCAGGCCGATGTGTGTGACGCTGGTGTTCAATACGAAGGGTCAGAGGTATCTGCGGGTGGGGCTGGCTGTACCTCTCTTTGGTACCCTGTCCTGCCTTAGAGCCATGGTGGCAGAGGAGGGCAACATCTCCCCGGACCAGGTACACACACACACACACACACACACACCCGTACACACCGTTTTCCCCCTATAATTTCTTTAGCTGTACAACAAATGACCACTGAAGCCACTGAAACAAACACATACTTATTACATTAATAATGCAAAATGAGAATAAGGGAGGTCTCCATCAACTGCAGCCTGTACACACTCACACAGTCCTGGGAAGAGGTGCTGTTTGTGGTTTTGTTAAGGTCATGATTATTCACCTTAATTGATCGGCACAACTTCACCTCGAAGTCCAATAGACTTTTTTTTTTTTTTTTACAGTGGACATTTAGGCTTGTCAAACACAGGTGGGACTAACACACTAATAATAGCTGCATTCAGTTTCAGTGTGCCATTTTCAAGGCTCTGTTATTCGTACATGCCGGCTGGCTGGCATTGTACTGTAGTGCTGAAACAATGAATCGACTAATCTAAGTTGATCGACAGAAAATTAGATAATTTGATAACTGACATTTATCAATCAAAAAGACCAAACATATTGTAGTTGCAGCTTCTCAAAAGGGATAATTTGCTGCTTTGCTCTATTTGATATCTGTTTTATAATGCAATGTAAAGATGCTTTGGGCTCCTCAAAATTTTGATCGGCATTTAGTAATATTTATGTATTTATTCATTTACTTTTGGCATCATAGTCTAAAAAGTTAATAATAGTCCATTGTCTATTATCCCAGCCAAATATTGCAGTGAGAACAAATTGAAATGCAGCCTGAATGCCTGCTGTATTCATCCTATTACTGTGGTAAGTACAGTCGATTAAAGTTCAACCAGGAAGTAGCACTGCAAGAGTAGATGTTTACGACAGACAGTCTGGGTAATCATTATCTTTACATCTACCATTGCTTCACTTACGATGAGTGGTTTAGATCATTTGGTTAAATGGTAAACCTCTTTAAAACCTCCATGCTTTCCGCCGTGCGCTCTCATGATTAGTCAGTAACATATTCTCAGGGAAACACGACAATAATGGGCAAAACTGCAACAACACCCAGGTAAAACAGATAATCCAACAGAATTTTCTCCCTGAATTCAAAAACATTTACACCCGAATGCACTCCCACGGTTAGCTCAAATGTCACCAACAAGAGAAAGGGTAAAGGAAAAGGTTCCAGAGGTGTGTGTGTGTGTGTGTGTGTGTGTGTGTGTGTGTGTTCATCAGTCTTTCTCCTGTCATACAGAAAGATGATGAATCTAAACCTGGGTCCACAGCAGCAGGAGAGCAAGAGAGCAGCAAAAATCTCAAATGTCCAGTGAAATGAAAAACACCTTATTCATGGAACAGAAAACACAGACACACAACCAACTGTAGAGAGACAAATGGCTAAAACCAGGATAAAATATTCCAATCTTGTGGCCTGCAGTGGTGGGGTGCAATAATGTTCTTCTTGAGAGCATGTGCTGTTAATATTGCTGCATTAAATTTCTTGTTTAATTTCTATTCCTTAGGGGTAGACATCTTTGTCAAACAACTAATAAACCATGAATTAGTTGTGTTTTTTTTTTTTTTAGTGAAGTTACAAAAAATATTTTGGAAATGGAAGTGTTTAGCATTCCTGTCCTAGACAAGTTGCCTGTGGGATTGTTTTGCAAAGTAGCAGAAGATTAATTTCAATTGTCCCAATTGTTCATTTTAATTCACAGTGGGAAATTTTTAACACTTGATATCAAAACAGGTTGCATCAAAACATAGATTCAAAATTAGCACAAAACAACAACAACAAACAGAAATTTTCACTTCTTTACTTGTGATTTTGGCAAAAAGGCAAATTATAGGACAAATTTCTGAGGGAACCCATCAGAAAGTGCTCAAACAAACACACGCAAACACACACACAAACAGTTCAGAACAGCCAGCCTGTGTGTTGCCTTTTATCTGTATCCATCTCTCCTCTCCTGTCCACTTTCTTTGAAGTATTTGAGTATGATAAAAGTGTGTGTGTGTGTGTGTGTGTGTGTGTGTGTGTGTGTGTGTGTGTGTGTGTGTGTGTGTGTGTGTGTGTGTGTGTGTGTCTTTAAGAACTAATATTCTATGTATTCGTGTACTGAAACTTGATATTTTTGAATCAAATGGCCTACGAACAGGTCTTTAAATCATCCATTTTTATAAGTTTGTTGTAGGTCAGGGAAACTCTCTTTCATCAGTGAGAGTTAACAAATGAAGTAGCATTTATTTATTTAGGAAAACACTGTTGCTATGGTTAACAACAGCTTAATAACCTTTGCGCCCAAAGTTGGCATGTTAAAATCAAGACCACGACACCTGGCAGCCGATCATAAATAAGTATATTCTGTGGTCAAGGTCCACACATACAACACAAATAGATAAACAAAAACTTCTCAGTGTGAAAAAATATTGAGCAGTGTGAATTTCACGGCTCTCCTCACTTAATACAATTATATGTTTCACTGTCAGGGATCTGAAGCTGTTGACTTGAACATGAAACTAGGAAATGTGCATCTCTGAGAATTAGAGTTGTGAAAAGAAACTTAGCCTCAATATCATTCCCTTTGCAGATGTTTATGTCTTGAATTTTTATATTGATGTCTTTCAGTTGCCAAGTTCTAGTCTCTGATGCTCTGCTTGTTTGAGAAATTCCTTTTAGGCTTTTGCAAGATGTTTTATATGATTTATTTTAGGGTTTTCTTTGAGCTGATTACAAATGTATCTATTTTTATTTCCTCTCTGAATTTGCCTGCATACAATATCATTGTTGGTTTATTTCTGAGTCATATATCTTCATAACAAGTTATCCCAGAGGGTCAACACTGGCACTCAATGTTTTTTTTTTAAATTCAATTTTCAGTTCAACAGATTGGTTATTTTCACCATTTCACCACGTCTGTCACTCTCCCTCTCCAGGTCATCCTATCAGAGTTGTACTCCACGGGTTTCCAGCGCTCCTTCTCAGATGACGACGACCTGACGTCAATTTCTGACAGCGACGTGGTCTACGCCTTCCAGGCTCCTCCCCTCTACAGTCGCGGAGGCTCTGCACCGCACTCAGGTAACCATGGCAACAAGACGTCCACTAAAAACACTGCCGACACTGACTTCCCACTCCGATTTGACAGTTTTTGCTCATTTCCAGTTTTCTCTTTGCCAGTCTTCCTCTGTCCTCTTGATGAGCTTGCACTCTCACTGATTCACACTTACACCTTTGTTTCCGCTCTCAGCGAGCTCTCATGTTTCATTAACCACAGTGTTTCTCACAGGCAGACATTTTACTTTGGTTAAGAGATTGTCTGCAGCGTGCTTTGTATTCCTCCATTCAGTCTTAGTCTTTATGCATGATAGAGCCCAAACAAATGAAATTAAATGCCACATCTGAATATCACCCAGTTCATCACATCATCCGAAATAAGCTGAGCTCGTACAAATAACTAATGCATCTAAAACTCAGAGAAGTCGTCAACATGTGACAAGTAGGAACCATTTTACTCTTGTCTCTGAAGGTAACACCGCAGATCAGTGGCACAGGTTACTTTTTGTTTGAATGAGCTCAGACTCTTGCTCTCCCTTTCTCTCTTATTGTCTCCGTGTGATAGACAGCGACAGTCGAGCTCTGTCTCCTTGCACACATAAAAAAAGAGAGACAGGTATGAAGTTGAGTCAGCCTTGCATCATCAGTGCACTTTAAAAACCTTTTTCGTCCATGCAAGACGCTGCTGAATGCACACGAGAATGAGGGCAAGTGTAATGACACACAAACACTCACACACTTACTGCTTTGTAAAGCAAACTGGCTGAGTGACGTTCTTCAAGAGCTCCTTTGATATACGCACTTCAGTCTGTAAAAGTTGTGGCAGTATGTAGGCATCATGTTTAAAATAAAAATAAAAAAAAAAACTGACTCTTCCTACATGGCTTTAACTGATGCAGTGCACGTCTTATGTCTCATGTCTTAAATCTATAATGACTAAAAGATGCTGGAGGATAGCTGGAAGTGTAAGATCCAGGATTTTTGGAGCTTGACCCCAGTACTAGTTCAGGAGAATGTGGGTTCTGCTGCTTTGAGTTTGCGCTACACTAAATTGCAGGAGTAGCCCTTTAAATGTGTGTCTTGCACTGCCTTCTTCACGCAGCAATGTAATAAATTTCACTTATAGGCCAAATTATGATTTCATGATATGATGACATATGAATTTTATCAGTTGAGCCATTTTAGAAAGGAAAACATGAAAAATCCAGTTTTAGTTCAAGTAAAAATCTTCCCGTTGCTTCAGCAGATGAGCATATTTTCAAGGATGTCACATAAATTTTTAAAGTTTGGACGTACATTTTCTACCAAGTTCAATATACTGTTTAAACTTTCAACAGCTTGCAAGATGAAAATCCAATACAACACATGACCTCTAGAATCAGACGGCCAAAAGAAATAACATTTTTTAACATTTTACCTTTTAAAGGCGGCATTATTTCTGTTTTCTGCCTGGTCAGACTGTGTAAAACAGCAGAATTCTGCACATCATATCTAATGATTTACTGAATTTACGAGGAAATGTATCAGGAAGGTTACGGGTGCTTAGACAACTTGTCGAGGGGTCAATGAGGCGCGGTGGAGCATCACACCCTCGCTATAGATGGATGGCAGTCAGGCTGTGAAGTTAAACATTGGCAAAAACAGTTTTAACTCTGGCAAAACAACCTTTCTTGATACGCTGTGTGAACGCTCTTTTCACCTGATGCCGTTACTTCCACCACGCTGAGGGGGAAAACGGGGCAGTAGATCTCTTCTTATCGCACCAGCAGCGCTGCCTTATCTCTAACAGGCCTGTCACAAACAAAGACCTATGATCAGAAGGCACACAGCCATTACTTTAACAGATCAGTGTTCATGTCTGATAAGGGCTTAATTGAGTCATATTACCAGAGTCAGAGTGAGGTCATTAATAGTGATCTCTGTGGGTTGCCAGGAAGTTGTGGTTAGCCTTTGTTCACCAACTGTACTGCTTAATGATGCCTTTATGGAGGGGGGAGAAGGGGGGCGGGGTGGGGTTGCTACCCCTGAAGAAGAATGGCATCAATAATTCACTCCTGTGCTTAAAGTGCTCATGAAAAGTTAAGAGGCTTCAATTTCTCAACGGGAGGCATTTCTATTGTCACTTCACACAGTGAATACAGTGTCACAGCACCCAGACAGGGGGCAGACACATACAGTATGCTTTCAGTCACACACACTCATTCTAACATAAGCATGCGTGAGCAAACACACACACTCACACTTGCATGCATGCACAAACACACACACTCACACTTGCATGCACGCACAAACACACACACCCCGCTGTGTAAGTCAAGTAGGTAATGAATCCATTAGAGTTACACTGGAGAGTCTCATAGATACATGGCCCTCAAGGGGAAACCTTGCACAGAACACACACACACACACAGAAATGCACTTGTAATGAATCACACTTAAGTACTCACTGGCAAATGTGACTCCCATTCTTGCGAGCAGTCTGATGAAAATGATGAATGGTCCTTACCTCGGCAGAATAATTCATAGGATCACTGCAGACCAGATTCCAGGATAACATAACTTCATTCCATGGGATTTGTGTCATGTTTTATAAAGTGTAGCACGCTAATTTACGCACTCATTACTGCTGAGACTGTGCTGTGGCGTTCTAAAGATAAAAGATGATGTATGGTAGTATTTTCTGCATAATTTCTTCTTGATAAAGCGGATAGTGATTTGAAACATTTTAGAAAATTTAACACAATGAAAGCTTTCACATAGGGCATTATTAAATTTTATGGTCTCAAGCAGAGTGGGAAAGTATACGTTTGTTTTATTTTGAGTTTTGTATTTCATATTTCTGTTAAGTCTATTTCTGTTTGTTCAGTTTCCAGTGTGGAAAGACTTTTTTTTTTTGTAATTCTGCCGTCGCAGCTGGTTTGACAAGTCGGAGAATAAAACACCACTGTTGTTGGTAGTTTAACAGAACTCCAGCTACCAGTGTGGTCGAGTGAAGTCAAAAAAACATCTAAACTAAGATAAACTTTATTGGTTTAAAGCAGCTGAATTGTCACTATGGTTATTGAGGTTATTTAAGGCCACCGGTTCTCTGGGGTTTAAGGGGCAACTCACTTTCTCATGCAATGTAGTCACTTCGTTTTAAGTTTAATAAACATCAAGACACTCATTCTCATTTATAAAACATGACCTAAGCACCAGGGTGACTTAGGTCATGCCTTATTTCATATAAAGTGAATATCTTTTCACACAAGGAAGTTTTGTGTTTCTGTCCATTGTGGGGACCAGTCGTTTGATTTTGGTCCTAATCACATTTGTCAGTTGGTGCAAAGGTCTCTTCCTTACACAATACACCACAGCGGCCACAGCACTGTTAGTGTCCATAATGTACTGTAGGTTGTTTTTCAGCTTGTGTGGAAAAAGAAAAACCTTTTGCTGTGATGGATGGCCGAACAGAACGCCTGTAGGGGCAACAATGTGATGAAAAACACTGACTCACATGACAATTTCCTGAGCTCTGAGTTTGGTGTTTGTTTGGCATGAACTTTTTTATTTTTTTTTGGGGGGGGGGGGGCATAATTGTGTATGCAGGGCTTTATAATTCTGATGAAATGAAAGCGAATGCCTGTACTTTCAGAGAGATTAGCTCAGCATGTGGCAAAAAATGATAGTTTTCTCGGTCTGAAAGCAGGCAGCCGTCACATACTGATGTTCTCCCAGGGTTGTGTTTATCTGACTGTAGAGCTACCACAGCATGACAATTTGTAGGTCACTTGAGAGTTGTACAGTGATTTTAAAACAGTTCAGCTGAGTCGCATTGCACGACTCTGCTCGGAAATGCACTTCATGCACTGTCCTCTTCAGAGTGGGTTGTTAGGAGAGGGTGTGTGGACTGAAAATATGCTTTAGCAGCAGGAGGTAACAGGGCGGGATGAAACGGGAATGGGGCAAATTACCACACAGCAGAATCTGGAACTGCAAGTAAAGATGATGGTTTCCCGCAGTTACATAGGGTTCATCATCACACCTCCTTGCCCGTGTTACCTCCTCCCCCCTCTTTGATCCTAGAATGATATTTTTGCCACCATCTTACTGCTGCTGAAACATTTGAAACATGTGTTCTCCCTGAGCAAGAGTGCTTTTCAGATTCAGGGGATTGAACTCGCTGTAAGGCTAGGTTCAGAATGACAAAATACAAAAACTCTTCATTTCAGTGCCACCGCAGTGTTTGCAAAAAGACGCAGCGTCATCATGGAAAAAGTGTTTGTGGCCTGATTATATTTCATTTTTATCACTTGTACCTGTAGCAACATCTCCACACAAATGCGGCGGCCCCCTCGAGTCCCTTTAATGCAGTGGTATATTCAGTTTGAGTGCCGACTATTGTCAAAAACAAAACATGGCAAGTGTTTGAAACGACACCACTCCTTCCCTAACTTTTGGGCAATTATGTTTTCTGGCAAAAGAAAGAGTATGCACTGAAAAGATTATCTACTGTATGAATGTGTCCAAGAGAAATGGCAGACAATAGCAGTGTGATACTCATATTTGGCTCTTGGCAGATAAACTGCTCAAATGACCACCACTTGCTCCTGATTCTTGGCTTGTCCTTTTCATTCCTCTCTTTGTCTCCTCCTCCACATGACTTGGCTGCAGGAAAGAAAAGGTAATGAGGATGGTGAGGAGGAGGAGAAGGAGGAGGAGAAAGGCTTCCAAAAAAAAAAAAATCTACCCATCACAGATATGGACTGATATGAATAATAAGTAGTAACCAATTTAATAACATGGCAAAAAGCATAGAGAATGTAAACGTCAAGTAAAATAACCAACAGTTTATTGCATGCAGGGAATTCCTCTGTCGTCACAAACTGCTGTGTATTTTAGTGTGTGGGAGCTGATATTCTCTGACTTTATCAGTAAATGCTCTCGGGGATATTGAGTCAGCGCAGCTCCCAGGTACAATAATGAGGTTTTGCATTTGCAAGAAATGGCAGCAGGAGTTCTCATGATGGAAAACACTGAAAAAA